ATTCCTATTTGCCAGGGCTATTTTGACGATAGAGTGAGGACATACACATAATGTTCCTGGCACTTTTCTGTAAATTAATACATTTTACTTTATATCTTCCCAGTGTGATTGTAAGTAATGTGAGAGCAGTATGATACAGTGGAAATAACAACTGCATGTAGGAAATGCTAAAATGTTTATATTTTTACAGTCCCAAAATGGGTTTCAAATTACCTTACTTTTGTGTGAGTGATTTTATATATGCCAGTTCTCTTTTTGAGCTTCAGTTTTCTCATTTGTAAAATAAGGATAATAATACCTGTGCTATTTACTTCACAGTTGTCATGAACTTCAAAGATAATGCATGTGACAGCATTTTGAAAACTAGAAAGTTCTTTAAAAATATAAAATGTTATCTTAAGCACGATGCTTTCCTCATGGGAGATGTTAACAAACTTACATTTTTGATATTGGTTTGTGGGCCACATTAGACATTCTATACTTGTGACCTGAAGATATTAATTTATGGGAATTTAATCATTTGTATTGCCTACAAAAGAGTCTAACTTGCAAAGAGACTCAAGAAAATGAGTTTCATTGCTATGGATTTTAACTGACTGACACTTACTGAGCACTTAGAAGAAAGGCACTGCTCTTGGCCCTAGGAATACAGAGGAAATCTCTAATACCTGACTTTCAGAAGTTTGCATTCTAGAATGATAGTCAAATAAATCGTTACTATGTGGACTGATAGGGTTATAGATTTTGTCAACATAGATAAGTGTTACAGTCCAGGATGAGGGAATCAGGGAAATCTTAAAGGATGTAATAGCCTGCTGGGATTTGAAGGATGGTTAGGAGGAGTTAGCAAGGTGACCATCTGAGTGGGAATGGAGTGTTGGAAGATATTCCAACAGCAGCAGCAAAGGTAGTGACACATTTGAGAAATCACCACGGTGTTGATACAATTGGTTTGCTTTTGTTTGGGGCTGGAGAATCGTGGGAAAAAAAGGAAGAAAAAGCAAGAGTAGATCCAGAGATTGACAAATAAGTAGGAAAGAATCATATATAGAAGTCTTGCCATTGAAAGATGTTAAATAGTGGGTGAAATACTCTTTGGAGTAGAGCAACTCCAGAGTGGGGCAATGACCCAGGAGAGAAGTAATGAGGCCTTATTCTAAAGTGATGACAGAGGGATGGCAGAGGCTGTATAGAGTGAAGCCTTATTAGATGAGAAGACTTGATCACTGAATAGATGTGATAGGTGATGGGGAAAGAAAAAATGATTATATTCTAATTTTTTGACTTGCATAAGAAAAGATAAGGTTAGGCAATTCAGAAAACTGGAGAATTACAAAAAAGAGAGCAATACCAATGGGCATAATGTGAAGAATATGGACTATAATTTACTCCCACACTTCTAGAGCTGGTAGGTAGCCAAACCCAGAGAATAATTCTTATCTTTACTAGACCTCTCCAAGGTTTCCTTTAGATAATCCATCATCCCTTCTCTCTTTCACCTTCCAACTCATTAGTACCTCTTCTCTGTTTGCTACAGAGAATCCAAAATTCCTCTACAAAAACTCCCTGAAAACACATCAACTCAAATCAGGTGTTTGTTTTGAAATCCGGTAAATAGTCAACACTTTAAAAAAAAAAAAAACATTTATTTATACAAGCACTGAGTATAGTCAGAAGCGCAGGAGGGTGAGAGAATTCACCAGAGCCAGAGCAGGGAACAGAACAGGCAGACTGACAAAATACATTGCTGAGGGGAGCAGCAGGCACTGCAGGAGAGGTCTATCATGCCATGTGGGACCCTCGCCGGCGGCCAGGGATCGAACCAGCACTGCAGAGGCTGCGGGCAGCTTCGCAGCCCAGCGCTCAACCACTGTGCCACCAGGCCCAATAGTCAACACTTTTAAAAGAAGATAAATGATAATTCTTAGCTGTGGGAATAATTCTCCTTTTATAGTCCAGTGGATCTTAGCTATAAACCACTGTTTAATGCTTCCATGTTGTTATTTTTTAGAGGTCATATCATAGTTGGTCAATGCTCCTTAAAACTATCCTAATCTAAAATCACTGAATCATCATCACCATCACCTCTTAAATACCATTACTTTGTTCTGGGTTAAGGAGCTTTAATCCATAAACTCATTTAATGATCATATTCTATGACAATGATTATTGGTACTATTTCTGTTTTATAAACAAACTAAGCCATCAATTTAAACAACTTTCCTAATATTATACAAGGGGTAAGTGGAAGAGCCAGGATTCAAACCCAGGCAGTCTGGGCTCAGAGGTCACATACCTCAGCATTGGAGGTATGGACTATAGGACCAAGGGCTTTGTGACTCAGTAGAACTGGTAGCTCTTGAGGTATGGTCCTAGCCTGCCAGAGGGAATCTATTCATAGACTGTAGCATGTATAGCACCCATTTTATCCTATACCCTATAGGATAAAATATTAATGTTAATAAAGTAACATTAAAATCACAAAGACAAGGGCCTCCCTGGTGGCACAGGAGTTAAAGCCTCAGCACTATCAAGCTATTGCCAGTCACTGCACGAGTTCAATCCCTGGCCAGGAAGCTAATCCACACGGTGCAGCAGACCTCTCCTGTCTGGCCTGCTGTTCCCCTCAGCAGTGCATTTCAGTCGATACGCCTGTTCTGTTCCCCATTCTATCTCTGATGAATCCTCTCACCCCTTGCACCACTAGCCTACACCCCAGTTCTTGTATGCATAAATAAAAATAAATCTTTTAAAAAAATAAAAACACAATTTTCTCACCAACCAGGATTATAAAGAATATCATACAGCACACAGCCTGCATTTGTATCCAGTTTGACTTAAGACTTAACCTGAATGCCTAGGTTTGAATACTTAAAATTTGAATACCTATGAACAAGATAATTAATCTCTGTGAGGCTCTTTCCCAATCTGTAAAAATAAATCTAACATCATGTTCCTTACAAGGATATGGTAAGAATTCATTGAGAGAATATAACTGAAATAGCCCACATTTATATCCTACTCACTGTATGCCATCCCTGCTCTCAGCATTGTCTGTATATAAACTCAATTCATTTCTTTCACCAAGCTTTTAAGGTAGGTACTATTTTTATCATCACCCAACCTGACACCTGTAGTAACTGGCAACCTCGGCAGTCTAGCTCGCAAGTCCCCATGTTTATCACAATGCTTACAGCCTTACAGTTACTATATTCCTGCCCAAGTACCAAGTAGGCTTGGTACTTTTTGGGTGCAAAGAGATTTCATGTCCCTCTTCTGTTATGATAGAAATAGCCCCTGAAACTTTAATACAAAAAAAGTCAGCAAAAGGGCAGCTATGAGAGAATGTCTACCTCTCAACAACTGATTGGAAGTAGCCCATGTCTAATCAACTTCGTGATTGAACTGGATGTGATGAACTGATCTTAGGCAGTTATTTCAAAGAATCACCAACCCATAATAAACCTGCTTCTTCCTATCTATATGTTAGTAGGTAGCTCATTGCTGTATAAAAATTATAAGAAGTCAAACCTTGTTTTCTTTCAATGCCTGGTTGTATGGCACATTGGCATAAAGCTACATAGGAATGTGTTCTGATCATCAATTTCTGATTTCAGCCTGTCAATCACTTTACCACAGTTTGTCTACTTCCCAGAACTGCAGTATGGTGATACTCTCCTTAAACACCTAAAACCAGGTCTGCCCCAGAGTAAACACTCAGTGAATGGCAGCTGTTGTCATTATTATTTCAAGAATGCCCTATATTTTGTCTTAGAAAAACCTAATTCTTAAGACTTCTTATTCTGTCCATATTTATCACTGATCATTCTATTTTGAAGCCAATGATCATATTCCTTCTGAAGTCTCACAAACTCTAATCTCTCAGAAGGATGGAACAATATTAGCATTCACTGAGGATTGGAGCAGTCCTACTTTCTACTTTGCTGACATTTTGGTTGGAATTAATTTCATTACAGCTGTACATCTTTCTTCTCACTGCATTCATCTAGGCAACTGAGAATAATGGACCACACAAAATCAGGTCAATGAAAAGTTCTAATTATGCTCTGTCTTTTCCTTAGCCACCTTCCTTTATAATGCAGTCTGGGCAGATGTGATCTGCTCTCACCCTCCCAGTCCTGCTGGGTGACTCCCCTATTTGGAGCACCAGCCCCTTTACCACTCAAGGGTGAACCTTCCCAGAATGTCCTTTGTCTCTAAAACTAAGTTGTTAAAGAGCTTTACTAAGGAAAAGCCCAGAGTGCATTATGTAGAATATATTTCAGGCAAGTAAAATGTTTAAATCCACAGACTGAAAATGATCTTCACACATAAAATGAAATCTGATCAGTTTACAGCCCAACATGAACGAAACTTCCAAATTAGGCACTTCCAAATTCAGTACAGCAAACCCTGCCAACCGCCAAAGGAATTGGAGAAATCAAAGCCCTTCTAAATCTTCTTTCCAGGACATATAAAGGATTCAGCAGAGTAGAGGTCAAAGAATCAGGGGGTGGGAAAGTATAAAGAAAAACGATTGCTGATTTCTATTTTTTTTTTTTCATATGAAGGGATAGAACCTAATTATTCCTTTATGCAGAAAATCCCTTTGGCTGTACACATGAATAAGAGCACTTAAGGCAGCAACATTTTTCTTATAATTATAAGAAATTATGACGTCTCTCTTGAAAGGCAGAATTTTCCTTATCTTGAAAAACAGTGTTCTTTATCATACTTACTTTTTATTAAAGCCTTCAAAATGAGGTTTTCTTGAGCCTCTTGAAATAAATCCATTTCACTTTGAACTGCCAGAACTAACTATTAAAATGGGGTCTGATTCATCCTGAGAAATGGCCACATATCCACTTGCCTGGGATAATAATGACTGCGTGGTGAAATACAAAAAAAAAAAGCGGGTGGGGGGGATTCCTTTATCTACAACGTAGACAGTAGTGAGCTGGAAAATATATTGATAACCCTTTTTAATGGGCTGGTATGTCTCATCCTTATTCATTCACTGAATTTTTTTCAACAGGTATTTACTGACACTAAGAGCAAGGGATTAGGCAAGGGACTGAATTTGCTAAGGCTGCTCTGGAAATTAACCTAAACAAAACATCACCTATAAAAGATGGTACTCATCAAAGAAAGGAGGGGAACTGTTTTTCAGATAGAATTGGAAAGCATTTGGAAAGGAACAATGCCTTTTAATTTCTCGTCAACTCTTCATGGGCCATAGACCACACAGCTCTAAGTTGTTATTGGCAACTGATGAAAATATTGACCCTGGGGAGGCAAAAATCGCAGTGCAGTGGCTGCTGTGCCTGCCTGTTTTTGCTGAGTTCTAGGAGAAGAGCTTCCTTCTAGGGTGCTTTCCAAGAATTTGACTTAGAGCTTTGCCTCTCAGGATGTGGAGCTCTCTCCCCCACTCTCCCTCCAATACACACTCAATCATGCAAGTCTCTCCAGGGTGATTCCTCTCACTTGTCCGCCTTTGATTGTTTCCTTTATTTTTCTTTGACTTTTTTCGTAATTCCCTTCTACTTCTGCTTCACAAGCCTGAAGCACCTGTAGAAAGTCTGGGAAGAAAAAGAGAATAAATTAAAAATCTTTCTAGTACATGTTCTGTTAAAGTTCCCATGGAAGACTGTGTTAGTCCTCAGTATCTTGATATTGACAACACTTTGTGATTGCCTTAAATCATCAGCCTGCCTCTTATTAGTAAGTGTTTGAGGGAAGAAACCATATAGTCTATCTATTCCTGGACCTTGAACCATCTAATCTCCATAGTGGGTGTCCGGTAAGTAATTTATGGATGAAGAACTGATACCATCTTCATTCCACCCTATAGCCTCTATATAGACTACATAGAGTTTGTTTAAACTCAAATTGTTACAGAATCATAGCTACATACAATACTCTGTGCTACATGCTCCAGAATAAACAAAGCTGAGCAAGAAAGTGTATCTTCAGATAGGTTAAAAGGGAAAAATAAAATGAATGTAAACTAATAAAGGCAAAAGTGTAGGTTTGGGGAACAGCAAGAAACACAGAACATGGCCATCAATGGACCTAGGAAGGATCACTTCTCCGTCTGTGTATTTATACGCAGGTATGCAAAAGACAACACTGACAATCCTCACAAAGGACAAGCACCTACCAAGACAGCACCATGGGTCACACATGTGAGCTGTAAATATGTAATGAGTTTTTACAGCTCAAAGGAGGGAAGGGGCTCAGCTGATGAAGTGGAAATGGCATCCGTAGGGAGATATTCTTAAAATGGGCCTACAAAGATGGATAGAAAGTCATCAAAAAAAGACAGGAGCATAATTTTGCCTGTGCAAAAAAAAGGACAATTACTACTGCCAACATGTAGAGAGGAAAGTGGGGGTAGGGTTTTGTACTTTGGTTAGTTTATTCAGGAGATTAAAGATTAGTAAAAGTCTATAAAAGCTAGAATCTCAAACTAAGCCACCACTGAACCTCAAAAAACAAATACTTCTACCTAGCTTTTCTATGCAAATGCCTGTATGACCTGTAGCTTTTCTATGCAGTCACCTGTGTGAATGGTTAAAGACCCACATGGATCTCTTTATAGGGAATTTGAATCTGTCATTAGGTTATATGCTGAGTGTTCAATAATCACTAATAAACTACTGAGCATTATAAAATCTTAGATTTTTAGCTGCAAACTAAACAATTACTACATAGTCTTCTTTGCTATTTGCATATTAATCCACAGAAACTCAGCAACCTCAGCATGTCATAACTTGATCAAAGTATATGCAAATCATTTTGAAAAAGATTAATGTTTTTCCCCAAATTGTTTTTGTGTAAATATATCTAGAAATGTGTAATTTTGTTGGACAAAGAATACTTCATTATATATTCTTCTGGCTAATAATGACCTGTACTCTCTCACTTATGGATGTATTCAAAGCATGCATATTTTTTTTTTTTTTTTTAAATATTAAATTTTATTTTTATATTCCCCCATACAATTGCAAATGCCCCATTCTGACCCCAATCCTTCCCCTCCCGCCCCCCATCCCCCAAAAAGTGTCTCTGGTTCATAGTTTTTTGTTGATTTTGATTTTCACTTTCTTATAGTTATTCGTTTTCCTGGTCCCTTATTTAAGTTTTCTAGATTCCTGCTATGAGTGAGACCATCCGGTATTTTTCTTTTTCTTTTTGGCTTATTTCGCTGAGCATGATCCCTTCCAGTGCCATCCATGTTGCTGCAAATTGCATGTGTTTATCTTTTTTGAATGCTGAGTAATATTCCATGGTATATATGTACCACATCTTCTTGATCCAGTCATCTATTTTTGGGCATTTGGGTTGTTTCCAAAGCTTAGCTATTGTAAACAGTGCTGCTATAAACATAGGAGTGCAGGTGCTCTTTGGAATTGATGTTTCTGTGTCCTTTGGGTAAATACCTAGGAGTGGAATTGCTGGATCATATGGAAGCTCTATGTTTAGTAGGTCCAGAAATCTCCACACAGCTCTCCATAGTGGTTGGACCAGTTTGCACTCCCACCAACAGTGCACAAGAGTTCCTTTTTCTCCACATCCTCGCCAACATTTGTTGTTGCTAGTTTTTTTAATATGTGCCATTCTCACTGGTGTGAGATGGTATCTCATGGTAGTTTTGATTTGCATTTCCCTGATTACAAGTGATGTTGAACATTTTTTCATATGTCTGTTGGCCATTTGCATTTCCTCTTCAGAGAAGTTTCTTTTTAGCTCTTCTGCCCATTTTTTGACTGGATTATATTCTTTGTTGTTGCTGAGTCTCATCAGCTCTTTGCAGATTTTTGTGATCAGTCCTTTATCATTAGTGTTGGGTGCAAAAATGTTCTCCCAGTTGGTGGGGTTTCTCTTTGTTTTTGTTATTGTCTCTTTTGCTGTGCAGAAGCTCTTTAATTTGATGTAGTCCCAGCTGTTGATCTTTCTCTTCACTATCACTGCTTTCAAAGCATGCATATTGATTGCTAAATATGTTAGGTTTTAAACAAGGTTAAGGTGATTGTGAAGATAACTGAGTTAGGATTCCTGTTCATAAAGGGTCACAATTTGGAATGCAAAAAAGTACAGTGGAAGAGGTTTTCCTACTAAGGAGACATCAGTTCCTCCCCTAGATACCATCACTAATAGCATTGCAACTAGGTAATCACTTATTTCAAACAATCACAGGGTATGACAGATCAAATTTTCTTTTGGACAAATTACATATTTAGCCATTTAGTATCTTATTTAAACATGTATTGATTTTATAATAAAAACAGCAGCGATATTTTAAAATTATAATGTAATCATTGGCTGCAAAAGATAAACAATTTGGTTAAAAATATCTAAAATATTTTAATAAAAAAGTCAGTGGAAACATGTGACAAGTGATTTAAAAAAATCCAATCCCTTGTCTGTCAATAAATGTCATAATTTCACACAAATGTATTATTACATCACAGGAGTAATTAGGAAAACGGGCTAAGGATGTTGAGTTTTTTTTTAAAGAGTTTTTTTTTTAAGATTTATTTATACAAGAACTGGGTACAGTCAGAGGCACGGAAGGGTGAGAGAATTCACCACAGACAGAGGGGGTGAGCAAAATAGGCAGGCAGACCGAACACTCTGCTGAGGGGAGCAGCAGGCGAGACCGGAGAGGTCTGCTGTGCCATGTGTGTATCTCTGCGGCCGGCCGGGAATTGAACCGCGCTGCAGAGGCTGCCGACAGCCTCACAGTGCGGCAGAACAGGCAGGCAGACAGTGCAGCTCAACCCACTGCACCACCGGGGAGGCCCTGTTGTATTTTAAAGCAGTTTGAAATTAACCCAGCCTATAACTGATGTGATATTTTACTTTCAGATCTAGGTCAGGCATCTGAAAATCACTTAGATTGACAGCATCCTCAGAACATCCAAGAAGAGAGGTCTCTTTAGAAGCTCTTCATGACCATATCCTATTTTCTCACCCTACTTTTAATGGTTTGAGTGCTTTACGTTGCCATACATATTTGCAAACCTCCCGTGTGCCCAATACCTTTATATTCAAAATACCTGTTAAATCCGTTACCTACCAAAGGGATGGTATTTAGTTCACTCACAGGGTATTTCCCATCACAATTCGGCTGCTGGGTAGAAAAGTGAGAATGCATTTCCGTGCCATTACTTCACATCCACAACTTAACGATTCAGCAAAGGGTCTTTGGAGTTTGCCCTTTTGGACAAATGACCGGCTCACAAGGAGTTAACATAGTTTTAAGACTTGAAAGAGAAAAATGTTCCTGGCAAAAAAGGCTTACAGCAAAATAATGAGTGCCAAGGTTGAAGCTGCTCTTTCTTGCTTTAGTGCTAGAGCTGCATTATTCACAACTGCCAATCAGCTAATCTGAAAAGAATTTGTTCTTTACTGCATTTCTCCTTTATTGCTCCCACCCCACTGGTCTGGTGTACATTGCCTCCAGCTAGGAGGGTTTAGAAATAGCTCCTAAACAGACAACAAATGCCGGTCTGTGAATCGAAGGGCAGTGGACACTGTGGAGAGAAGGGGCTTTTGCTCAACCCCATTTCCTTTTCACATTTAGCCTTTGCTACTGCAGTCCTGAAAAGCTCAGGCTATTGCAAAAGGAGAAATTGCCTGTCAATTTCTGAAAATTCAACACGGAGCTTTTATGGAAGATGCAGGGGACAGGACTGGTTGCAGCTCCCTGAGATTATTGGTAGTGAGAAAAACTTTTTTGCTCTACAGGAAATGAATTTTTACAAATTCTGTTGCAACTGCTTAACCCAAACACTATTACATGTGAGGTGAAGAAAAGAAAACAGATGTCATAATTTACAGTTGAAAACCAAGAACCTGTAGATAAAGGCTAGATCTGTGGTCGGCAATTACTATTCCTACATTGACATTTGGGGTGTCCTTACAAAGGTGCGCTGTGTTATTCCAACTGAATGTGTGCCTGTATGAGCAATGAAAGTAGATGTACATGTATAAAAATAGATATATGTATAAATAATTGGAGATGTATCTTTTAACTAAGTGTGCAGTAGTATCTTGGCAAATTTGATTAATGCCCCAGGGTACTTTTTTCCCCTTGGTATATTCATGAAGCACCAGTTAAGAATGTTGGAATTTATGTAGGTCTACTGGGGAGTAATTATCACTCAATGCATTAGCAGTGAAAAATCAGAGATCGTTGCCAGCTTTCTTCACTTCCAAAGCAAAACTAAACATTCTGAGATTGAGTTAAATAGTCTCTGTTAATTTCTGCACTAATTCACCCAGTGGCAATGCAGGGGTGACTTTGGTTGCAGATATTTCCATTCTGTGGAAAACAGGGCTGTAAAAGGCTTTTCATGCTAAGCCAGAAATTGCTGTGTGCTCCAGACTGGCACCTGGCAGGGATGTCTAGGTGGCGGACTCTCAAGTAGGTAAAGGAGGTGTCAGTTGGGCTTGAGCCGACTTACTTTTGCTGCTGTTAGTTCCTGAACTGAGATGTGTGGATTTGATCAGATTATTGGAACTGGCTAGGGTGGACGGTCAGTCCCATTAACTCAGGTGCATGTGCTAATTCCACCTCCATCCCACACAAGTCCAATCAGACTAGAGCGTAGTTGGCTGCCCCAGCATCTCTGCCACTCCAGCAAACAGGCCCAGCCACCCAGCCCTCCACAGAACCCCCTCAGCTGCTGGCCCACCTCCCCTTTCACTGCTTATCTGCCACATCCCCTAGGTCTCTTTCCCACCCCCTCCAACCCAGTGATCTACTTCATGCAACCTCTGCCAATCTTGCTTCACTTCCTGTCATTTCAACTCCTCAGAGGGTCGGGGGAGCACAAGGTCGTCAGGGCAGCACTCAGCGGCATTGAAGACCACAGGCCATGGTACAGTGAGTCAGATACAACTCAAAAGCAAGTCAGCCATCCATCGTATAGCCTGAAGAACGGGGCAGTAGTCTACTTGGGCTCAGCTTCCTAAAGAGAAAAAGAAGTGAATCATTTAACAAAGCCAATGGCCCCTGAAACAGTTATGTCATTCTATTTTTTGGTCAGAGACAGTCCATTTGTTAAGACACACAACTAAGAATCCAATGAAAGCCTCATTTTACCCTCCAGGAAGAATCAGCCTCCCCGGCCACCATAACGATGCATATGTGATGTCATTTCAACATGGTTTTCGTGAGACGTGAACAATGACTGTGAGACTAAGGTGCACAGGCATGTGGGGGGGGGGTGTGGGTGCGCACACAGTACACCTAGAGGGGCAGGGCAGGGGCGGGTGGAGATCGCAGGAGCCTCCCTGAAGAGGAAAGAACCCGCAGAGGCCTGACTGCAGTGCAGTTTTACATACAGGCCTGTAGGAGCACCCAGAATGTTATTAGACCATAAAAGCACATCAGGCTGATTTATGGTTTCTGATCAAGGTTTCTGTGAAAATTACTCTGCATCACCAGCTCAAGGTGACTGCTACCATTAATGTGTGGAAAATAAATGAGATGGGGAGGCTGCTAGCAGAGGCAGGAAGGGAAGCGCTGAGGCAGTTTATACAGCACAGGTTCCCATTTTGTTTTACAGTGCAGGGAAGCCTGTCATCAAAATGATTGCTGTGGGGCAGGAAAGGCAATTCTTGGTAATTAGATCTTATGGCATGTAGCTGCTGCTGCTTATAGCGAATGTATCAGGATAGCAGGACGAATGCCGACTTCCCGCATGCTGTCTTTTCTGTTTTCTGTCCAAATTCAGGTGCTACCATTTAAATTTAGAAGGAAAAATGTTATAGTACTGTTTGCCTGGCTCCATTTGTTTCTGAAGTATTCCTCCTCACTCGACTGTTTCCCTAACTTTATTTCATTGGAGGAGAGGAATTCTATTAGAAATAATCTTACAAAGTTGAGACTTTGCATGAGAATTGATGCTCAGTAGTGTTTTGTATGTTATCGGATTGCCATAGACGAGCTGCACTGGCCTTTTCATTCTTAGCCTGTTTATAATTCATCACCAAAGCATTTCATAGCTGAAATGCCCTGCTGCTTGTTTAAATGTAAACAAATACCATATATTCCAAGATTTTCATGCAAGATAGTTGCTGCAAAAGGTACAACAGCTGTTAGCTGGAAAATGTCCTTCCCTGCCTTTTTTTTTTTTTTTTTTTCCTTTGCTCATTTAGTCATGTGAACATACTGGTTAAGCATTTACTTAAATTGGGTATTTTCCTACTGACTTAAGATTTGGGAATTAGAATCAATTCTAGGGTTTTGACTCTATATGCAGGAGACAACCCTGCACTTTGGAATGCCTGAGATGAAACTGAGTAGATTAAAAGATTTTAAAATCTCTTTGCTGCAACCCTTTCCCAAGATCTTAAAACTTGCCTTCCAGCACATCTGTGTAGCACTCCACATCTGGAACACATCGGTGTTTGCTCTTGCATCTGGCTTCTGCTGCGGCGATGGCCATTAAGAGACATAGCTTCAAGAAACCCACAGGCCTGAGAATACTCAGCCCATCTAGCCTGAGAAGGAGACCTGTGTTCCCCTCACACAAAACTTTAAAGTTGTTCATTTTCATGTCATATTCTGCTCTAAATGCCCATCTTATATTATGGCAAGGCTGGATTGAGACATTCACATGCAACCTAAAATACTCATTAGGACCAATGTTCAGTGTTGGTGCTTCTTACATATGTTGTTAATGATTCTGTTTCAAGAGTTCAGACATCGTTATCATCACCCAACCCCAAAAACAGAGGGTAGAAATGTTTAATTGAGGCAAAGGATTCTAATAGCCATCCAACATTTAAAATTCTTCAAAAAAGCTTTCAGTTACATGCCATTGGATCATCACTACAGAGCCAAGAGATCACTACGATAGTCATGACTTGCAGTTGCACGTGGAAATGCAACTTAGAGAAGCTTGGTGTTTTGTCTAGGATTGATTCAGTCACAGTAGTAAAGCCAGCTCTCAGGTGTCTTATAGTCTCTAGCTAGGATATTACACTTTAAAATCATTGTCCTGGGATAAAACAGAATGCTGGTCTTGTAGTAACTCTGCTGTGAGCAAAAGGCAAGAACTAGGTCGGTGCCTAGCTGTTTTGTTTGCTTTCTTGGTTTGCTCATCTTTGTATAGACAAGAAATTTTCTCTAAACCTTCTAACATTATTTTTTTTAATTAATCTTCCTCATGAGCCACACATTTAGGATTGAGTAACCGATCACTATCAACACCTAACAAACCAAGAAAGGGTCTCCCTTTCTAGTTAGTGGCTCTCCCATCTCCAGCACATGTCTGCTCCCCACCAGACACACACTGTTATATTTGAAAAAGAAAAACTGAAGACAAAAGAAAAACCTGAGATTCTTAAAAGTACATGGCCATCTTAAAATACCTGTTTTATTTTAAGATTAAACTTTAACTTTGAAAATGATTACTAAACTTTGCACAGAAGAGAGGGCATATCTAGAGGTTGCAGAGGGATGTGTGCCAAAGGAGAGCGTCATCTGAGACTTTGCCAGATTGCTATTGCTTGATGGAGATGGCACAAGCTGAATGGATCTAATGTATCTGCCCTCATATGGGGTCATCCTCTCATTATGCAGCTACATTTAATTTGGCAGAAGCTACCTTTGGCTATCCCAGATTCTACAATTTGCTAGTTTCTTTAGCTTCGAAGGGATTATTTAGTTGATCTGCAAAGGTAATGGCAAGGTAGTTAAAATTCAGCCATCGAAGAAAATAGGAGATGTTGGGGGAAGAAGCCACTCTTGCTTTAAACAAATGTGTTGCTTGAGAAATAGATTTGATTGATCAGGGATCTTCCCCCACTACAAAGATATCTATTTCAGAAATCTGTCCCTTTGAAGACCCTAATATGGCTTATTGTTTCAGCTTGATTAAGGTTTTAGTACCTGCACTAGGCATGGTGGAGAATGTTATTTCAGATGTGACCATCCCTTCCTCAATTCTTTCTTTGCTGACTAAAGCCTCAATGTCTCCAACTCCTTTCCCTACCTTTCTCTTATGAGATATTTAAGGGTCAAAAGGAAACATTATTGAGAAAAAGGATTAACTTTCAATTCCACAGAAAACAGTTGGGAAGGCTTCCGAGTGTGACCACGCTGTCACGGCAAGGTGGAGGAAAAAAATACAGTGTTACCCCAGTGTCTGAGCCCAAGGGACCAGCTGCTTCCAATTACCCTCAGCCAATTACCCTCCGGATTGCTCTGTGTAGATTAGATTCAATCGCTTCTGCTAATAATAATGAACACTGCATATCTGACTTCCCACAAAAGGCACTAAAACCTACTACCTGGCTGAGAGAATGTAAGTGTCCTGGTGACACATAGGTGTGTATTTTAGAGGAATGAGTGAGTCAGAGGTGGAACAGCAAGAGATGAGGACCACCATTCTTTCCAAGAAAACTTTAGCTATCTACTCTCCTTTGTCCTCACAAGAGCAGTGTAGCTAAACTGCTTAAATCTTCATTATTTATAATGTACAGAGCAGACATTATCTCCTCCATAGAAACCCTGCCTTTTCTTCCAGATAACTAGCTAGAAATAAAGTACCACACTTTCTCTCCTCTACAGAAACACATCACGGTAGGCGTGTTTAAATTTAGGGCAATGTCGTTGAAAACAATTCGCCTCTCAGCCCTTGAAGCCCAAATCCCCCAGCCCATACATTTCACAGAGAATCAGTGCTTACACAATGGCCTCATGTTTTGTCAGTTTTGCTATAAAAATACCCAGCAATTTTTTAAAGTACTGTAATTTTGAAAATTTCCATTTATTTCCAAAGACATCATCTAGTGGCCAATCAGACAAAAGAATCAAGAAGAATGACAAAGCCCTTCAATAAGCAGATCAGAATCTTTCCAAACTTTACATGATAAATACAGTTTATCACAAAGATTTCATTTCCCTAGTGTTTCAGACCCAGTTTAGTAAACCTTTCGAGAAAACTTTTCTAGCAATGCAGCTCTTGGGGGCACAGAACTCATCTCAACAGTTACCCTTCTCTGGTGTATGAAGGCAAGTCACCATTATTAATCATTGTTAAGACAACCTAGTGTCTGGCAGGTTATGAGTGTTCAGATGTTTTGATGTGGACATTTAAATTGTCTTTGCTTGCAGAAGTTTGTTAAAAGGAAATTTGTGTTTGGTATAGTATATTGGGTAATAAATGTTCGATGAGGTCAGTTTAAAAGAACACAGAGGAAGGGCGAGATATTCTGGAGAAGGTAACAGAGAAAGGAACAGGGTACTTAACTAAATATCTCGTTCCAAAGCAGAGAGGAATGGTACTTAGTTGTCTAAACCAGAGATAGATTCTGGCTGGATCAGGAAGAGCTGTCGTCGTGTGTTGGTTGGTGTCTGTTGAGCAGACATGACCTGTAGAGAGGATTGCATCTTTCTGACAGGTACTGTTTGGGTATCAGAAATTGTCTGGGAATGAGGTCACCATAGCTCAGTCAACTATCATGAGCACCAGGTCTCAGGCTGGTGTCCTTTCTATTTTCCTGTACTTCTGAAGAGAATTCACCTTTGCGTCTATGTAACAACTTGTCCCTGACAGCCAAAAAGATGCTGGATGGATGTTACTTACCCTATATGAACCTCACCATTCCCTATGCACATCTCTAGACCCCAACTACTGGAGAGCTGGGGGTATGAGCTCGTAGAGTACAGGAAGGCAGTAATGAGTGGGAACAGTTGGATACACTTGAGCTGAGGCAGTGCCTTCTCCTCTCATGGAAAATAAATTCTTAGAATTCCAGCCCATTTGTCAGGCTGGGGTTTGAGAACCAAAAATATTTAATTGCCTAGAGTCTGATCTGTGTACCTCCACGGGAACCCACTGTATTACTAGTTTGAACCTGATACAATTTCAAATGCTTGACCATTTCTGGCCTATGAAAATGGTAATTTTGTCTAACATAATCAGAATATTTGGGGTATAGGGAAGGCAGTCAATCA